CTATCAATTTTCACGAGGAGTCGCCTCCTCCTGGAGGTCCTCCTGACTCTCCTGGCTCCGCCTCAATTTGGAACCCGGTACGGATCAGTATCAGGTTCTCAGTCCACCGATGCCTTGGCCGGCGCCGCCTTCACCTATTATTCCTGTTCCGATTCCGCCTGCCACCGCCGTCACCTCGAAATGTGTCTCAGACACGGGCTCGTGGTGCACATCCTGACGATGTGTCAAAGGCTAAGTTGCGCACTGTTGTGGGACCTCCGGTTGTGTTGTTGCCTGGGCAGTCTGCAGGCAAGAAGGATCCCGATCTTTCGGGTGACTTTCCGGGTTCTCATGAACCTGCTTCCTCTTCTTCTGATCCGGCTCCTGTTCCTGGTTTGCCGGTGACTGAGGGGGAATTTCCTACCCAGCAAACCCCACTCCCGGAACCCACCCCGGAACCGCCGGTGCCGGAAGCTGGTGAGGACACTGACTCTGATGCGACGGTTGACTATCGTGATGAGAGTTTGCTTGCATTGGCTGTTGGCGACGATGACGTTTTAATTCGCCTTCCGTCGGACTTTCAAGTTCCGTCTTTTGTTCCGTTGGATGGTGATGGTTTTGCGTCTTGGTTGACCAAGCAGGATAAAATCAAGGCGGGTACCCTGACGCCGGAAATGCAGCGCAAGTATGCCCCCGAAATTCGGAAGGCTAAGCTTGAAGAGTTCAAGAGTTACTTGGACAACGATGCTATTCGGCTCACGGACCGCCGCAAGCTTAAAAGCGATGTCAATTTTCTTACCGGACGCTGGGTCCTTACGGTGAAGGTTGACAAGAACGGTTACTTTTCCAAGTTCATTCAGATGCCCGTCCGCGTCATCAACGAGGCCTATGGTGCGGACTTCTTCCCCTACATCCAGCGCCATGCACATGATGTGGAGGTTCGCCGAAAGTACTTGGTGCGAACTCCGGCGGATTACGGTCTTTATGACTCTACTCTCAAGCAACCCTTCAATGGTCGCTATGTGCTGGCAGCTTTGGATAAGGTTTTCTCTACAGCTGACAACAAGGACTTTAAGTCGGCCTTCGCCGAGAGCAGATTTGTTGGCCTATGAGAACCTTCGCGAGAAGAAGGAGGCAGAGTTGAATGAACTCTACACGCGACCCTATGAAGACCTTTTGGTTGAAGAGTTCATCGAACGGCTTCCTGGTCCACAGGTCGAAGAGATTGAGGAGCCTGCCGCGGCAACCCAGATGGATACCTCCGAGCCGGCCTCAGGATCAACCGATTTGCCACAGGGCAAGAAGGACGATCCAGTGAAGACCGAGCCGACCGATGTGCCAATGGAGACTGATGCTCCAGAAGCTCTCCTCAGGGAGAGGCATCTGGAGTGAATGTCGAGCCAATGGAGACCGAAGCTCCGGAAGGCTCTCCTCAGGGAGAGGGATCTGGGGTCAAGGCCGAACCTGATGAGCACATGGGTCAAGGAGGAGGACAGTCTGAGGGCAGTGAGATGGCAGAGGAAAGCTCACCACAGGGGGAGGAATCCATGCCTGACATTTCTCCCGAGAAGGATGATGAAAGTGAACTTCACGATCAAGGCATCGGCTTGTATCATACAGGCCTGCGTGACCCCACGTGGGAGCCCGTTTTCGCATTCAAGGTGCAGCATATGAGCTGGAGGGTCAATGTTCCACCTCACAATGGACAGAAATACTCTCTTAGTGCAGGAGACCTATTCGCTCAACCCAACAAGATGTCTCCGATCTATGAGCGGCGTCCTGACAGGAACGATGTTGTCTTTCGTTCTGGAGACGTCCGCAGCACCTTGGATGACAAGCTGATGGAGAAGGCCTCTGACGTCCGGGAAGCAGCTCTGGAGGTTTCGGAAGCACTCCTTGAACAGGTGAAGTCCCTTGACGCGAGTGGCAATCCGGCAACTCGAGAAGAACTCTTGAACGCTATGCTTCATTACTTCTTGAGCACTGGAGTCGATGAAGAGGAGATCGGGGACCTCTCTGGCTCTCTCTTGAGAGGATGCCGAATCCTTACATTCATCGTTTTGGTCTAGCGGAGGACGCCAAGGTCACCCTCTTCACAAGCAAGACCAAGTACGCCGCGCTCATTGTCAATTTCGGCAACATGAGCAGGGGAAGGAAGCGCACTGCCCCTACCTCTGTTGCCAGTCACATTGGCTGGGACGACTCCTCGCCATCCAAAGGAGCCTTGATCAAGTCGATCGCTCAGAGCAACTCACACCTCTTCATGTTGTGTGAGGCCTCTGAGATCAACGACTCCGAGAAGGCGTTCCTCACAGCGCGCGGGTGGCAATTCCTGCAGAACGAGTCCAAGGACGTGCTCGTCGGGAGTCGTACCAACAATGTCGGTTCTTCGATCACCCGTTTGGCAGGCTCAACTCTCACTGGGCTTGCTCACAATTCTCTTCCGATCACTTATATGATCGTCGAGATCGTGTACGGGATGACAGTGCCGGCGGGGACTCAGGGAAATCGTGGCGACTTCCCAGATGATGCACTGACCAGGGTCCTGGAACGTGCCGGCTCCGACCGCATAAGGGTCTGTTGCTTCCACCTCCGTAACGACGCGGCAGCCAACAAGGTGGCGTTGGCTCACGAGGCGTTGGGCAACATGTTCGTTGACTGCCTGCACTACCAAGTCGACCTCATCGGCGGCGATGCCAACATGGCCCTGTATCGGACCACAGGCAGAAAGCAGGAGTCAATGGATATTTCGTGGCGGAATGTACCAAAGCCTTCTCGATTACTTCTTGGAGGCCTGGTCGGAGAGCCCGAAGTGCCCACACCTCTGCTCGCCTCGCGCGAGACACGTGTCAGCAAACGCCATGTGGCTTCTGAAGCCGTACGAGGACACGCTTGGTGTACAGTACCGGAACATCAAACACCCTGATTGAAATACTTTTCCTGGGTTGGATCCAGTTCTGGGTACAGTCATGGAGTGGGGCCACAGCATGTCGGACGATCAACGGGCTGAGTTTCCAGCTTCAAAGAACGAGTACGACATCAAGGTCTCCGAATGGCTGTTGAACTCCACCAGCGCCGCGTACCTTCTCAACGACCGGGATTTTGACGCTCACACTCCGCTCCTCATCGAGGTTCATGCGAACCAGTACACTGGAGGCAGGATGAGGGCAGTCAATCGCAATCCCGACACCATGAAGGACGCCGCGGACAGGAGGAAAGAGAGGAGAAGTTGAACAAGGCGCGCGGCGCGTGGTTCTGGTTCTTCTGGTCCCGCTGCGGCCGCACCTCAGGGAGCAAGCTTTTCTCAGGAAGAGGCAGCTTCTGGTGCAACAGCTTCTGGTTCTCAACGTCCTCCAGAACCCGCACAACCTCCCGGTGGCAAAGAAGGCGGCAAAGGAGGCAAGCCCTCCAAGGGGAAAGGCAAAGAATCCGACAAGGGCAAGTCCAAGGGCAAATCCAAGGACAAGTCCAAGGGCAAGAACAAGGGGAAAAACTGACTAGGTTCCGATTCGGATATGGAAATGGACAATGGTCTCGACGAAGTTCCTTTGGAACAAAATGAAGACTTTGCTCCTGATCCACAACCTTCGTTGCCTAGAGCCCCAGCAGATCCTCGTGGTTACGATCCAGTTCGCCATGCTCCGGTGATGCCGATTCACAGAGCTGACATCTACCGCTGGTCTGGTGAACATCGTGATACGACCTGGGATCGAGACATAGAGTTCGTCGACTGAACTGGCTGAGTGTTTCACGGAATGCTTCTTTCATAAGAAGGTATCCATTCTGAACATTCGTCATTTCATGGGAGATGCTTTTCTCGGGAAAAGGTACTTCCTAAAGAACTCGTCTTTCAAGAAGATTATCTCAGGATAAGATACTTCCAATGCCCTTATACAATTTGCCTTGCCGCAAGATGTCATGCTGGCATCAAGTGGAGCTAAGCTCTACACTTTTATGTTGCAGTATGCTTTCCATCTGGAGAGGGAACTGAACACAAGTGGGCAACTTTCAAGCAAAAGTTTTCAGTGAAGATCCGTTTGCGTTTCGTGCGTGTTCTGCTCTTTTCATGAAGCTGTCTCCAGGCTAGAGAGTCTATAGTTACTATAGTTTCTCTTCAAGTCGTAGATGTAGCTCAATACTCCGCTAATTCGACCGAGAGCAATAACAGGCTAGTAGAATGCCGACTCCACGGCCATGCAGTTCTATGTGTTTTAAATTTGTGCCTGGTTGAAACACTGAATGTTACACATCCAGGTGCTTTTTTGTTTCACGTATCACTTGCATGTATCCATGCCTGTTGCTCATGTTGCTCAAGGTTCTAGTGCAGTGGACTACAGCTGTGCGCCTGTAGCAAAAGAGACACCTGAGTGCCTGTGTTCCTGTACGCCTAGCGAGGGGATACACGTCCAGGTTACATCTCAGGGGGGGGGGGGGGCCGCCTCCCTCGGGAAAGAAAAAGACGGAGAAGAAATGACCAAGCTTTCAACAACCTGGCCACCTAGCGCCAGAGCGTGCAAAATCAAGGCGTGATAACCGAGACAAGGACACCGAAGCACAGAATCACCGCTTGAAAGGCAAGCGTCAGCAACACAAGGAGGGAGAGAGTACTCCGAAGCCTGACGCTCGTTGTCGAGGGGAGGCGAGAAATATCGAGAAAGAGACAGCGAGAGAGAGAGAGAGGGGAACTTCCCCTTCGCCTGGCGAAAGAAAGAGAGAGAAGAACGATTGGGGGACCAGGCTGCAAATGTGGTACTTACGCCGGTGCTCTGAAATATGACCCAATACTCACCAAAAGGATCGTGCACGTGTCAAGCCAACGAGCGATGAATCCAGCTAATTCATAGTCCAATATACTTTCTCAACTCAACTGAGGGACTCGATGTTTTTCATGCCCCGCCGAAAGCCCCATAACACATGGGGGGGGCCCATGAGGCCGGGGGGCCTGACCCGCCCCTTATGCCCTGCAGAAGCAGAAGAAGAAACAGTTGCACCCCTTTTTGATGCTGGTCTGGAGCTGTGAGGTTCTCAGCCTTCGAGACCGCTACCTCTCGCAGCTGCGCTGCTTCACTCCGCTGAAGCACTGCCGCATTGCTTCTGCCAAGGAGCAGGCAGAAAGGGAAGTCTCACGTGAAGGGACGCCTTAGTCGAGATACTACGCAGGCCGTGGATGTGGTGGCCTGAACCTCGGAGTGCAGGGGGGAGATTCTCCGACACTCCGCTTTACCCGCAGAGGCGCGCTGCGCCTTGAACGGCGGTGACCGCTGCGTGATCGTCCTGTGCGGGCGCCTACACAAGCGGCTCCAAACAACGTGCAGGCAGACAGCCAATTCTGTTATGTTTACCTTGTACTTTGTACCGTACGATGTATGTGTCCTACATACATGTTTAATATGTGTGTATATATATATATATATTATCCCATGTATCTCCTTGCAGTATAGGGTATAATTTGTACGGGAGTTGCTTCGCAGCTTCTCAGGCACGATGGTTCTACGGCCGTGTTGGGTGCCCCACCCTCGTTCGACACTGAGAGGACCAGTTACACGAGTTTTGAGCCGGGGAGAGAACCGTTGCAACAAGGCTCGATGGCGGAGGCGTGCAGAGCTGCAGAGGATTGTGAAGTTCATGCATATTCTGGCCACTGTCTGGCGCGGCTGGCGCGGAGGTGATAGCGACACCGACGTGGGGTGCGCCACCTGGGGCCCCGCCTGGGGATATTTAAGCAGAGCTCCTTCATGGCTGACATCTCCGGCGGAAGGTGGACACTGCAACGTGTAGATGCGTGTACTGGCACATTAAGTACATTCGTTGAAATGCAGATCCAAAGCTTGCGCAAGTGAAGACAGAAGAACGGCCAAAGCCTCCATTGTCCGTAAGTTTGCTTTAGGTCCCCCTCGGCGGCCTCGCCGAAGTTGAGTTTGAGGGCGTCGGCAGTACGAGGAGCCCTGAAAATGCAGGAGCCGAGCGCTCGGAGAGTGCGGAAGTGAGGAGAGCGTTTGGGGCTTCTTTGGATAAAGCTATGGAGTATTTCAGGCTGGGGCTAGAGGATTTTGTTCTTGGATTTGTGTTTAGATGACGGTGTTGATGAAGGGTTAGGAGCTGAGGATCTGTTGTTTCAAGGCTCCTGTTCTGGCAGAAACTTCCGTCGGCATATCTCGACATTTCTTGGTCGAGTCTTCAAAACCTTGGATTTGGATGCTGCACCGCGAAGAAAAGCGAAAGCATTCTCTATAAACGTGCCTTCTCTGAAACTCCTGAACCTGTGCGGGCTGAGTTAGACTACAACGCCCCCTGGAAGCTTCGAAGGTAGCCTTCCAACAATCACTCAACTTGGCCCTTTTTACAATCGAAAGGCGTAGCCCAAGACGGACACCTGACAACCTGAAGATGCTCCAACAAGGAACACAACCTTAGATTACCCTTACACTCCTACAGCCTCATCCCTTAACCACTAAATCAGACTTAACTCCACACCGCTGTGGCTCTAAGGATGTTGAAAGGCGGCTCTCAAAAGCTCAGCGCTCTTTGCCCGGCAAACATGGCTGGATTCCGAGAGGGCTGCAACGCCGCAACGCGTCGGAGCCAAGTTCTTGCCTGAGCCTGCCAAAGCTTCGCCGCGAGGTGACGGTAGACGAAGATGACCATCTCATGCAGGTGCCAGCGGCCAACGACAGGCAGCTGCTTTGCATGCAAGCCGCAGGTCATGGGGAAGTTGCGTTCACAAAACTGTTCCAGTGCCATCGTGGCCGGCGGCCTGGGACAGGGAGCTGTTCTGACACCGCCGCTGCACGCTCGCGAGATTCTTCGTGCGTCAGGTCCGTCCATCCTTGGACGGCGGGGCAGCTGCGTGCTGAGTGCTCGTTGCACCAACAGCAAGCCGGTCGTCTTGGCCACTGCCTCTAAGGACACCGTTCGCGGTGTGGTGCACGTGTCGCAGGCACCACGATTGTCCTCCGACATGTGCCGCGCTCCTTGAGACGCGGAGCTTAGGTGGTGTCCTTCTTGATGACTGCCAAAGATTTCAGCAGGGAAGGTACCAAAGAGATGCCGGGCACCTTACGATGCAGGCGCTACGAGCTTTCAACAAAGGGATCGAAGAAGGAGGGAAGGAGGATGTTTTTTTTCTTTCTGAGGTGGAGCCCCTCGGTTTCACCAGGCCGCCGAAGGGGCAAACGCATGCCGTAAGGCCGTACAAGGCCGAGAGTGTGAGAGCAAAGCTTTGCCATGTGCAGGCTTCCGGCCGACCAACAACGCGCAGAGGCGCGGCCGGGGCGGCGGTTTCTTCGCGAGCGCGCGCCTCCTCTGCTTTCCTCTGCTTTGAGACTCAGAGCGCAGAGCAGGCGCCATCCGCTGGCCCGGGCGAGGCGAGAGAGAGCCGAGAGAGCCGAAGCTGAGTGGTTGAGCGCTTCAAAGCGCTTTTGGGCGGCAGGTCCAATCTGGGGGACGCGGGGCTGGCCAGCAGCACGCAAACCATGACGCTTGGCCGGTTGCTTGGCCTTGAAGAGGGTGGCCGCGAAATTCTTTCTGTGCTATAGGATGCGCTTCCGCCGCACCATGCACCACGAGGAGCTGCAGAGACCAGTAGCATCCAGTAGCACCCAGACCAGTTGGCCCCCCGCACTTTCGCACTTCTGTTGAGCTCAGCAGCTCAGCAGCTGAGCTCGTGTCTCGAGGATGCTCCGAAGGTGCAGTTTCAGATTGAGCGCAGCCACAGCAGGTAGCAGGCGGTAGCAGGTAGTCTCACGGGTTTCACCTACCACAGACATCGCTTACGAAACGGAAAGAAAATGGAACCAGGAGACATGATGACATGCTGACTGGCTGCTACTCTTGAAGCCTCAAGCCCCAAGAGCCAACTCTGTCGTACCGGCCGCCGGTTGACGCCGGAGTTTGGAAAGAGAGATCTAAGCGACCGGAGGCGCTGCGCTTTGAGCTGGCGGCGGCTCTGCAGAGGGAGCCCCGCGAGGACTCCGCGGAGAGAGCCGAAGCCGGGAACGGGGGGCCCCCCCGGCCCGCGGGGCCGTTTCTTGGGGGAACCTTCCCATGGCCTTTCCGTGCTGCTGGCGTCGCCTCGCGCCTCGCTCCTCGCGCCTCGCTTCGTGAGAAATCGAAATCGCCTCGCTCCTTTTGTGCAAAGGTCCTGCGAACCTCGCCGCGCGCGCTTCGCTGCACGAGAGGAGGCGTGCATTTTTCAGAAAGCTCCCGAGCCTTGCAGTCTTCTTGCAGTCGCAGTCACTGGCCTGAGTCGCTGAGTTGCGCCGCTCCTATTGGCTCCCGCCGTGAAGAAAATCAGGTCGGGCTGTTTTTTCTTCCTCGCCAAAAGCGCTTTGAGAGATTGAGAGAGATGCGGGGGGTACTTTGGCTTTGGCTCTTCCTCCTGGTGAGAGACAGCGAAACGACCGAGCCGACCCGGCGGGAGCTCTCTGCAGTCGCGCAGCAGGCGCAGCAGGCAGACGACGAGTGCTTTTGGGACTCCCCTCAGGTGGCAGAGACCTCTTCCTCTTGCGCTTTCAGCGCGCTGCAACGGAGCTCGGGCTCGTTTTCCAAAGCCGCCGCCGCCTCGGCGGAGCTCCAAAACACGGAAGAAGCGGCTTCCGCCTCGGACTCCCTTCGGCTTTACCAGTGGAATCCCCACTGGCAGTGCTTCTATGAGAGCAGGCACCGCAGATGCAGGGAGCAAAGCAAGGCCCTCTTGAATCGCGGCTTGCGGAACATGCAGATCGACTTTGCGAATGTCATCGAACTTGTCGATCCTTCTTATAGGCCCCCCGGAGGCTTTCAGATGCTGAAAGCCACCTGCAACAGCAAAGAGAATGCCCTCTTGATCTACGACTCATCCAAGTGGAAGCCCTCCAACAAAGGAGGCTCTCGTGTCTCCGGGTGCATCACGAGGAAGGATCGTGCCTTTAACGTGCAAGTGTTTGAGTCTGTCCGTGGTTCTCCACTGTCTCAGGTTGTGGTGGTGGGCGCACACTACCCGCACTACATCAATGTGCCAAGACTCAGAGATTCTCTCGCTCAAGTCATGCACTCAACGGGGGTCAAAAACGTGATCTTCATCGGGGACACCAATCAGGAGAACGGTGACAGCATGGACGTAGCCCGGGCCCTTGGGATGCCAATGGCACATTCGATTCGCTCCTCCCCGCTTTTCGTCAGCTGCTGCCACAAAGTCAACGACGGCTTCGTCTGGAAGTTCGATCGGATTATCACGAACTTCGGCCGCATGACAGATGCAGGAGTCTTCGAAGTGCCCTCGTGGGCAGCGCCCTCCATGCACAGAGCTGTGCACGCCAAGATCCAGCTCTCCTAGAGCGTTTCCCTTCAGTACTGACGAAAAGCATCGAAGATGTGTTTCTCTCAATGACCGGATCGCGATTGTTGAAAAGCATGGAATGTTCTCGGTGAGCCAACCCCAAACAGGCCCAGCCGGGCCCCGAAGCCATCCCACGACTCGCAGCGCAGCTACGCCAGGCGCCGAGGCGGCGATCTTCGGCCACCTCGAGGCTCTTTTGGGCCTTCCGCCTCCGCCGCGGCGGCGGCACTTTCAACAGAAGTCTTGGACTTGATTCCAAAGAAACCCGTTTTTTTTTTGGCTGGGCGGGGATTTGGGTTTTTGGAAGCCTCGGCAGTGCGGTGATGTCGCTATGCAACAATGCTTCTTGTGTCGCCATCCGGCAAGGAAGGGTTCAGGACGCAGAAGTCAAGCCTTTCCCACTTTGTCCCGGTCTGTCCTGCCTCGTCCCGATCTGTCCTGCTTGCTTGGTCCCGTTCTGTCCTGCCTGCTTTGTCCTGGTTTGTCGCTCTTGCAGTGATGCTTCGACTCTTAGCATGGTTCCGGCTCGGTAGACCCGTTCTTCGGGACGGGGACTGTCCAAATAGGCTTCAGTCACCCTCGCGCAGGGGCCGAGGTTGATTTGCTGTTGCGGTCAGCGCTCGGAGAAAAATTGTTTCCACTGTGGACACATTGCGCCATTGTTGTAGTATTATCTCGAATGATTCGGGCATCTTCACGTGGCTTCCTGCAGACTCCGGAGAAGCACCAAGCCCTTAAACCAGCTGCCCACTGCAGCATGACTCGGGAGCTTTTTTTATTCTCGCTGTTGTGAAGAAATGTGTATATGTCTTGGGCTCAAGAGCATTCAGAGTCCTTCTGACACTCTCAGAATGCCAGACTGTTGTGCCGGACTGGACCATGAAGCGCCTCTTCCAGTTGCTGTTCCTGCTGCTTTTGGTTGCCTGGTACAAGCTCTACAGTGACTGGAGTTTGGAACCCGAGCCGGTGAAAACAGCTTTGAGAGCGACGAGCTATGGGCACCCTCCTTGGTTGAGAGAGTGCAGAAAGATCTACCTGGACGTAGGCTCAAATTTCATGGCTTTGCTCCTGTCGTGAGGTTTTGGATAAGTGTTCGGCCAACTGGCACCCGCCACTCGAAAGCCCGAAACTCTGTAGTCTGAACCCTCAGGGGAGCCCAGCGAATTCCTCCGAATGGCGCAGTCCCTTCCAGGGAGCAACATCGGCGTCCAAGTCCGGAAGTTCTTTGAGCCCGAGCGCTACCCCGGCGCAGAAGCCCCTTCGTCCGAAAGCCGCGCCGCCCGAAAGCTCGGAAGTGCAGAAGTTCTGTAAACTTAGAGCCGCCGAGAGCAAGAACTCAGAAACTTGATGACGGGCTTGACTCCGTCTACAGGCACTGAATAGTTCGTCTAGATACCCGGACACTTCAAGGCCTCTTCCCTGCAATGAGCGCTTTGCCCAATATGCAGCATGGGGCCCGGGGCGTGTCTAAACCCTCCCTGAGCTTTGCCTGAAAGCTTCCATCAGCTTCGCTTGCAGGAAAACCTCGGGACAAGAGTGCCTTTGCCCTGTCTTTCGTCCTGATGCTTCCGAGACTCCAAAGGTCCCAAACCAAAACGCTCTTATAACCCACCCCCTCAGCCTGGAAATGCGGACTCGAAGTCCTGCCGAAAGGCAAATGCTTCGGCTGAGGTCCTTCCCCTCTTTGATCGGAGCTTTGGCCCTGCGGCAAGGCGTAAGGAACCCTCTGCGCAGACAGGACTCTGCACCCTTGGCATGGAGTCTTAGCGGAACTGATTGGGGAACCAGCCGGGTTTGCAGTGCAGTAGAAAAACAGAAGGGGCCCGTCATTGGGTTCAGATATGAACCAAATAGTGGAGGCAGGCGTATCGGGCGTATCGAGTCTAAAGCTGGAATCCGGATTCGTCGTTCGGTTCACAGTTTTTCCACGCGCTTTAGACTGTAGAGTTTTTGAAGGGTTCGTGCCTGGCTAAGGGTCGGGAGAGGGCAGGCAAATTAGCCTTTGTATCACATCTTCATGTGCACTTTCCTTCCGACCACAGCTCCGTGGAGCCTTGTGATGACACGGGATTGCAGCATGCGGCTTGAGCTGTGGGTCAAGAGGTTCGAAGGCTTGAGCCCGTCTAGGTGTGATGCTTGGGGGGATGTAAGCCGGGCAGAACCTGTGCCAGCCGTGTCCCCTGAAAATGAATCTCGATAACGACAAGCATCGGTCTAGCAAGCGGCACGAGTGGGGTAGGGGGGGTGTGAGGGACTGGGTGCTCAGAGGCAAGAGCTCTGTGAGCAGCTGCAGACAGTAGCGCGAAAGTAGGGCAGCTTTGCAGTGACTTCGGATGGGGAATCGGCGCCCTACCATCGTCTGGAATGACTTAGCCGATGAGGCTGTGAAGATCCTGTCCCGGACTTTGAGGCAAATCTGGGGTCGTCATTGGGAGTTGCCCAGATTGGCTGCCGCAGTGCGATGCTTCTGCGGACATCTCCGTCTGCAAGGCCTGGCAGCAGCAGCTGGCTTTCAGCGGCTGCGACTGGAACACAACAACATCCCATCAGACCGTTTTGGGCAAAGAGCTGAACTGACGGGAAGCGAAAGTAAAGCCGATCTTTCGGTTGGTGGCAAGAAATCGATACAGCTGCGGCCCTTCCACCGTCCATTGATTCACACTCCGCGCCGGCGCGTGGAGATGTGATTCTGCTGCCGTTACATCAGACTCAAAATTTCATGGCGTGGGCCTGTACATGCCTAGCGGATCCTAGCGGGAGCATTGAATAGGCTTCACATACACACAAGTGAAAGCATCGACCCGCGGACCACAGTGTGTCCAGCTTTGGGTGATCTCAGGATTCAGGATCCTGCCAAGAAAAGCAAGGGCTCCGTAGCTTTGCTCCCCGAGGCCAAACATCGTGCCTGCATGCCTTGATTCATGAAGCATTAGATGTAGCCTATGTGGCCCTATGTGGCCCTATGTTGCCCATACTTCTCAAAACTGTCAGCTTCGTCTCTTCGACGGACTAACAACTCCCAAGCTCTCTCGGGGAGGTCATGGGCCAACTGGAAGATCCTAAATCTCAGAGACGGCTCAACATCCCAGGAACCGCATCCTGCGCTCCAGGGAAGACTGCATGAGATCGCCCAGGCGAGGATTAGGATTCGCCTGGCAAGGAAGTGATTTTTGTTGGTGTTTGTGTACTCTTGGGCTTGGGAAGGCTTTCCGGCTCTGAACGGCTCTTTGGGCTGCACTCACTAGAGCTGTTGTCTTGGGGTCCTAGGACCAGAACAGGAGGTACTGAGCCTGGTTTGCTCGCAAAGACGGAGCCGAGAAGATCACCAAGTGCTATGCCACAATTTGGAGAGCCCTAGGACCTCGGAGAGATCGCTTTCGTCTAAGGCCTATCAGAGCCGTGGCTGGCATGTGCACTTCTACCCTTTCGCAGCTCACACCCGGGTCGGCGCACTTCTCTTCCAGCAGCAGGCAGGAGTTGGAGAGGGCCACTTTCAAGGGATACGCGCTGAGCCCTTAACCTCAGACCTGAACCCTAAGACCTAAGAAGCCTAGATCCACAAACTGCTTTGTGGCTTCGTGGCTGCAAAGGACGGCGTCGGCCGCGGCACGGCTTCGCGCATCGCCGGCTACGGCCCAAAGAGCTGGTGCGACTGCCCGAAAGAATGGGTTCGTTGTCCGTGAAGAAGAGAAAATAGAGAAAATAGTGAGAGTGCGAGACTGTGTGAGAGTTGAAGACGCTGTCACGGGTAATGTCAATAGCCTTGAGAAGCCTTCCCGGTAGCCTTCCCGGGAAAGCGGCTCCGCGGAGGTGGCCCTTCGCCTGGGAAGATCGGTCGCAGCAGGCTCTCGTCGGGGGAGTCTCTTTTTTGTCGCTTGAGGGTCGTGTTTTTGCGTTTTGTTGCCTTTGGAGGTGACGGTCCAGACCATCGATCTGGCAGACTTCATCAGCTCTCTGACCAGATTTGGCTTCAGAGCTTGAGGTGTATTCAGCGTTGACGGTTTGGTGTCCAAGGTGTGTGACTTGCAGGGAGCAGGGCTCAGCGTTGAGGAAGTTATTTCTTTGAGGTTGTGATACGTGATGTCGAAAAACTTCAGAGGCGGCTATTGTCGAGAGTCTAGGCTTCAGGCAAAAGAAGTCTTCAACCTCAGGGAATCGGGCGTTGGGCCTGATGTTTCGGCTCGGAAGCCCCCTGGGTCTTTGCTGAGGTTCGCTTCCGGCATCCTCGGTAGTGCTCATGAAGCTGGACATTGAGGGAGCAGAGTTTGATGTGGTGCCCCGATTAGCTGAGCGAGGCCTTCTCTGCAAATCCTCCATTCCAGAGGCCGCCGCGAGAAACTGCAAAGGGATATGGCCCATGGCTCTCCTCTCCTCTCTCTCTCTCTCTCTCTCTCTCTCTCTGTCTCTCTCTGTCTCTCTCTGTCTCTCGCCCCCATACGGAGGCCTTCATCGAAGTGCACGAGAGCTCGAAGTTTTCTTCTATCGCTGCAGGGGAGCGCTTCATAGAGCAGCAGTTAGATTTGGCACGGAACTCTGAAGGTCCTTGCGAGCACACCGTCCTCAACGTGCTGGACGATGAAAGCTTCGCGAAGGATGTGGACCACGACTTTGCTGGAAGAACGAAACCGGCGCTGCGGCTCTCTCCCGAAGATGGGCATTCCTACATGTTCGGATATTTTGACAAGTGGGCCGTGGACGAAAACAACCAGCGGGTGCTGGCTTGCCGAATCCCCTATGCAGACCAAGAGCCATCCGAATCTGCTGAAATGGTCGTAGGCTTCGTTCCCATGGACGGCACGCAGCAGTTCACAGAGCTTGGGAAGACGACTGCCTGGAACCTCCAGCAAGGAGCCATGGCCGAATGGCTGGGCCCTCAGACAGTGATCTTCAACATCCGCAACAGAAACCTGGGCTCTTGTTCAGAAGCTGATTTCTTTCAACTTACGAGATAATTCATACTGGTAATGTCTGACATTGAGTAGCATGCTTCCTTCTTC